GTCGCAATGATTTCTTCCTGCGTTGGTTCATCAAAGTCTTGGATTTCTGCTTCGACATCAAGATCTTGTGACAGACTCGCGTAGCGGAATGCGAGCACTTGGACTGGATCCGGCCCCGCTCCACCGAGCCTAGCCTCATGATCGGATCCTGTGATGGGCCAGACCAGCCAGGAGAGATCCAGCTGAGCCATCGCTGGGGAACAGCTGCGGAGGCTTCTTGTGGTTTCTTGCTCCTGCATCGTGTGTCCGCGGTCTATCCTGTGAGGGCGGTTGTTTCCCCTTGTAGCGGGGGGGGCCTACGTTCCCTGGGGGGTGTCGGAGCCAGCAGAAGCTTCTTAGTTCCACCAGCCCCTCGCGCATGACCCGGTTGCGAGGGGGGCCTCTGGGGATGCTTCTCCATGGCCCTTCCCTTGGCTCATGTTGCTCCAGAAGGGCAGAGATTGGACCCCCTCTCATGGTGCGCCTGGAGTCCATAACTATTGGGGCCAGGCAGGGTGCGTCAATGTCGCGCGGCCCCCCTAGTCATGGTGGCTGGGGGTTCTGAGCTGGGGCGCGAGCCCCCCCTGTCTGAGCGTGTCCCCCCACCTTCCTGGGCTGCGTGACCTTGAGTCGGGAGGAGGAGCGGGCGCGAGGCCTGGGGGGGGGAGATCGGGCTGTCGAGATCGCGTGCGTCCGAACCGATGCTGATCCCGTCGTCGCTCTCCCAATCGTGCGCCCCCTCGCCACTCGGGACGTCGTCTGCGCGCTCGTCCTCGTTCGGAGGCGAGCCCCCCGCAGCGTCCATCCCTGTCCTCGTGGTGCGGCCATCCTCCGTGTGTTGCTGCTGCCCTCTGTCCGGGCTGATTCCTATCGGCTCGAACGGCGCGGTGGGGGATATTTCAACGTCTTCTGCCGCGCCATTCCTGGGCAGCCAGTTCGGAAAAGCCGTGGTTGGATCATGTGGGGGGGGGGGGCCTGACGGGGGGAGCCACGATTCGGCCCCCGCTGGGAGGCTCTGGCGCGTGATGTATCGCCTCGTGTGTGCTGCTTTGTGCAGCGCCAATTTCATCCGCAGGGGCTGGGAGGTCCTGCATCTGTGAGCAGGCCCCGTCGGCGCCCCTCCCTGCCACGCTTCTTCCATGGTTATATGGGGGGGGGGGCCATGCCGTTCCTTGGGGCCGATATGGGGGCCCGTCTGTCCGCGTGCCAGTGCTAGCCTCTTCCCTCTGGGCAACGCCACGATCTGGAGTACTGATCCCAGGTGCCACCTCGGATGCTTCTGTGACCCGAAATGGGGGGCGTTCATGGGCAGCTGCCAGATCACCGCGCACTATGTGAGGAGGAGGAGAGGGGGAGGCGCAGCCGATAGCCGCAGACTCTGGTGAATTGAAGGAGTGGGGGGAAGAGACGGACCTGTGTGCCCTTGCGAGGCTCGAGTCGTCGGCCTCTGCCTCTGCCTCTGCTTGAGATTGCTGTTCTGGCACTATGTGTGGGGGGGGGGGATGATCCTCAGTGGGCTGCCTATGCCACGATGGGGGTTATGACCATGTCCTGCAGCGGGGGGAGCATGCGCGGTAGGAGGATGGGAGGAGGGGGAGGCGCAGCCGATAGCCGCAGGATCTGGTAAATTGATGGAGGGGAGAGAGTGGTTGTCGATGTGCGTTCGCATAGGGTGGATCAATTCCTCTGGGCTTGCTCCTTCTGAATGTGCCTGCGGTGGGTTTTCTGCCACCGCAGGCTGGGGGAATGCGTCGCCTTCCTCTCTGGATACAGCCCGATCTGCGTCTGGTGATCCAGCCACCCTTGTTCCGCCGTCCCGCCCTAGGGCACTGTTTCTCACCGCTGGGGGAAGTGTAGGAGTGCCCTGCACCATAGGAGGAGGAGGGGAGGAGGCGCAGCCGATAGCCGCAAGATCTGGTAAATTGACGGAGGAGGGGGAGCGGTCATTGGTGTGCGTTCGCGTAGAGCCTGGGTCCTCTGGGATTGGTCCCCCCACGTCGGGCTGTGGGGGGCCTGCTGTCGCCACTGTCGGGGGGAATGTGCTGCCTGCTTTTCTGGATACAGCCCGATCGACATGTGGTAATCCAGCAACAAGCGCTCCACTGGTCAATCCCTGAACATCGTTCCCAGCCGCGGGTGACGTTGCGTGAGAGCCTTGCGCGGTAGGAGGATGAGGAGAGGAGGAGGCGTAAATTGAAGGAGGAGAGGGGGGGCGGCGATGTGCGCGCTCATGGTGCAGGTCAGGTTACCTGTGATGTCTCTGCCCGCGTGAGCCTGCGGAGGGCCTTCAGTCAACACAGGCGGGGAGAATGCATCGTCTTCCCTTCGGTATCCAGCATCATCTTCGCCTGGGTGCCCTTCACCCACTGTCCCACGTGCTCGTTCTGGGGCCTCATTTCCAGCCGCTGAGGACTGGGCTGCATCCGATGTTCGGACCCTGGGTGGGCTGTCCACCCCCCTTCGCGGGGAGGGGGGAGGCGTAGGGGGAACTGGGATTTGCGCAGGATTCGTCGCAAAGTCTGGGAAGGGGCCATCTCCCAGTACCTGGGAGTCTCCTTCCACCGAGCGAGGAGGAGGCGGTCCCTGACTTGCCCTCGGTGCTGGATCTGCCACGCCTGTGGGCGAAGGTTGCTCCATGTGGGGGGACATTGTCTCGATCGGTGGCAGTGGTTGGACTCCCGAGCCATGTACTGCACGATCTGTGTCGTCGTGCCCTCCCTCTGGCGGATCAAGCATCGTCTGCGTGGCCGACGGGGGGACGGCGCGGTCCTGGGCGGGGGGAACGGCGCGGCGTCCGGGCGCCCCCTTGAGCGGTGGGAGACTGCCCCGGAGAGGGCAGGCCCACCAGACGGGCTTGAGCCAGTGGCTACGGAAAACTGGTGGGGTTACGCGAAGCGGCTAGAATTCCTCGAGAGATGGTAGGATGGAGATTCACGCGACACAACACAACGCTTCACCCAAACGCTGGGGCACACAGAGACCAGGGGAGCTGCGCTCGTGCGAGAGGCGATCCTCAATTATTGCCACGTGTATTCTGCAATCACCGTGTGGCCCTCGCAACTGCTATCACTACTGCCGCCGCCACCATGTCTATCGATCTCTGAAGCAGCCCAACGGATAATAACCAGTCCACGGACCCCTCCCGCAATCCAAACGCACCAGTTTCCCGAGCCGCGTCCAGCCGTGGCAACGAGGAGGCCCCTCGAAGGCCAAAAAGGCAACCCTTGTCTCACCCCTCCCTCCTCTGAGATGAGGGGCGTCTTTCAGGAGCCGCCACCTCAAGGGCCGCAGAGTCATGTGCACGCTTGGACATCTCCTCGACGCCAGCGGCGTTCGGAGGCCTCCAGCTCCGCTGGACTCGCCGTGCTCTCCCAGATGACGATGTTTGCGGGAGCTGTGCGAACTGCCTCCTCCTCCTCCTCCTCCTTCTCCCCCTCCTCCCCCTCCTCCCCCTCCTCCACCTCCTCTCCCTCCTCCACATCCTCCTCCGTCCTCCTCCTCCTCCTCCTCCTCCTCCTCCTCCTCCTCCTCCTCCTCCTCCTCCTCCTCCTCCCCCTCCTCCTCCTCCTCCTCCTCCCCTCCTCCTCCTCCTCCCCTCCTCCTCCTCCCCTCCTCCTCCTCCTCCTCCCCCTCCTCCTCCTCCTCCTCCTCCTCCTCCTCCTCCTGGGTCCGGCCCGCCCCGAGGTCGAGCGCTGCCGAGGAGGTCTGGGGAAGCGTCTCTGCGTGGGGAAGGAGTCGCTCTGGAGACCCCAGGGTACTTGAGACCAGGTCTGCGCCGGCCCCTTGGGGAAGAACACCTCTCCCGTCCAGACCACGAAGGGTGATCATCTTCGCGCCCCTACGGGTGATCTCGTGAAACCAATGGACGCCCACAGAGAAACTCCAGAAGCCAGAGGTGTTCCTGGAATCTTCGTGGGGCTCCTGGAAGAAATGAGAAGCGCAATGGAAGCCCCAATGGACAGGATGATTCGCAACACCTTCCCATGGGACTATCAGCGAGATGCACTTGACGGGATAGGTCAAACATGTCCTCGGGCTGTCGCAGTGCAGTGGAGATGGCAGGAAAAGTAGAAGCGAACTTTTTGTTGTCCTACACCGCCATGCGCCAGGCGGTCTCCATTGACCCAGAACCAGAGGCCTCTTGGCTCAATCAAGAAGGGGCCCTCTCATGGCTCAACTCGATTTCACCCTGCCCCATACACTCGCAACCACCCTTCCCAAAAATAATTCGTCGTTCTTTCATTCAGCGCATCGTCGTTTGGCTTCCGTTCGTCCTCCTTGCGCGTGCGACATTCTAGTCGTTGCGTCTGGACCCCCTGTCTGCGCGGAGTACGCAGGCTCCGATGGCGAGAGATCCCACCGCATAGGATGCAATAAACGAATGCAAGCATCACCCAGTCAGACGCCCAAACCAACGCCAAAAGCACGGCCCAGCACGACGCGACAGCACGGTGCGGCATCGGCCGACGGATTCGCGAATCGGCGATAAAACATGGCACCACTCGACACGGCACAACATGGTGCTGAACGGACTCGCGAGTTGGTGACATGGCAGGACACGGCACGGCGGAAAAGCGCGGAATGGATTGCACGGCGTGGCACGGCACGGCGGCATGGGGGCAAAATGGCACAACGTGCCACGGCACGGCGGCACAACATGACCCGACTCCGAATGGATCCGCGAATCGAGGATACGGCACGGCACGGAACGTTAGAACGCCACGGCACGGCACGGCTTTGGAAGCACCCCGCGGATTGTAATCAAGAGTCGCCTGCAGCTGGCACCCTTCGATGGTCTTGAACAGCCTTTACGGGACGCGTTGTTTGGGGACACTGCGCTGCGCTATCAACTTCAAGGGCGGATTGTTAATTTAGGCACGTGGCGATGAGCGGCGCAAGCGCCAACGCCAAGACCTATCCGCGGGCAATGGGGTGGCGCGGTGGCCATTGGCTTTTGATCAGCGTGCGAGGCACCATAACAATGTGGTGCAGCAAGGGAGCCGCTTTCCCTAGCGAGGAGTTCAGCACTGGCTGCGGCTACGTCGTGCGTCGCTCACTCCATGCCCGAGAGGCCAATCACCACAAGCACCCAGGTGGCAGAACGGGAGTCGCATGCAGCCGGACGCGACGCGGGCAGCCAGAGGGTGGGAACGGGAAGCGGAGCGATCGTTTGCCAGGGCGAGCTGCGAGGCCACAGACTGCCAGGCCCGCCCCGCCAGGGTTGGGCGAGCCGCGCGAGCCTGACTGCCAGGCCCAGTAGGGCACGGGAAGCCCAAGGATCGAGGAGCTGGCGATCGGGTGCCATGGTGGGTCGGCGGCGCGAGCGGCCAAGAAGGGTGACCAGTGGGGCGCGCGGGCGGAGATCTCCCACACAGCGCGACGACGCGGCAGCGATGCGGCAGCAGGCGGGAGCGTGACGAATCCTTGGGACAGCCACCCAGCGAATCGAAGCGGCAACGAGGTCTCGAGGCGAAGGGGAGCAGGGGAAGGAAGAGGAGGGAGGAGGATGGTTTAGGGAGGGGGAGGGGATGAGAGAGGAGGAGAGAAGGAGGAGGAGGAGGAGGAGGAGGAGGAGGAGGCAGCGAGACGGCGACGAGGCGGCAGCGTGGCGAGTCCTCCGAAGAAGACCCTTCATGCCCCTCCCAGTTCCTTTCTCCACCCCGCCCCCGCGGTCCTCCTCGTCCTCCTCCCTTCCTCGCCCTCCCTAGCCGTCTCCGTCGTCGACGTCTTCGTCGTCGGCCTTCCTCCCTCGTCGCCGTCGCCGTCCTCCTTCCTCCTTCCTCCTCTCTCCCTCGTAGTCGTTGTCCGTCTCCTCCTTCTTCACCCTCCTGCCTCGTCGTCATCGTCGTCGTAGAATACTGATTTCTAGAAAAGAATTATTGCTGATCTCCGGAAACGGTTCCGCGCGCTCTCACCTCGACGCTGGCGTCATTTTCTGTGAAAGCGAAGCTCCCGCTCGAGTGGGGGCGCCAATGTACATGTCTGTCTTTGTGGGCCCAGCTACGACGACAACGGCTCCCGCTCGATACTTCGTCGCAATTGACTTCGAGACGCCCTAGCCAGAGAGGCCTTGAAACTCATCAACGGCGCTCTGGCTCGAGATTTCCTCGCAATGTACGCAAATTCGTGGAGGCCCAGCTGCGACGATAAGGGCTCCCGCTTGATACTTCCTCGCAATATTCCGAGACGCCCTGGCCAGAGAGGCCTCGAAGGTCAGGAACGGCGCTCTGGTTCGAGACTTCCTCACCATTCGCGCAAGTTCGTGGAGGCCCAGCTGCGACGACAACGGCTCCCGCCATTCGCAATTTACTCCGAGACGCCCTGGCCAGAGAGGCCTCGAAGCTCAGGAACGGCGCTCTGGCTCGAGATTTTCTCGCAATTCGCGCAACGGCTCCCGCTCGATACTTCCTCGCAATTTACTCAAAGACGCCCTGGCCAGAGATGCCTCGAAGCTCAGGAGCGGAGGCTTCGCTTTAGACTTCCTTGAACTTTACTCACGTTTTGGGAGGGGGGGCGGCTACGCAATTCACTCAAGTTTTGGGGGGCGGGAAGCTGCGACGACAAGGGTCCAGCTTGATAGTTTCTCGCAGTTTACTCCGAGACGCCCTGGCCAGGGGAGAGGCACCCAAACTCAGGAACGACGCTCTCGCTGGATACGTCCACGCAGAATGCTCAAGTTGATGCTTGGCCCGTGGGCGCGTTGGCACGCTTGACGGCCATGGCGGCGTGGTGCGCATACAAAGCACCGAATGCGATTCCCAGGAGCTGAGTGGAAACGAATCCCCCCCAAAGAGGGTTGGTTCATTGACTTAGCGGGCGGGTTCAAGGGAGAGAGAACAAATATCAGCCAGCGCTGACTCCAAATAGATTAGACGACTCAAATCAAGGAATCAGAGGAATCGAGCACGCTTGGAATCCGCAACTCAGCAAGCAAGCAAGCGTGCAAGCAAGCGCGCAAGCAAGCAAGCAAGTAAGCAAGCGAGCGAGCATACATGAGGGGGGGTGTCACTGGAAAAAAGGGGGGATAGCCGTGGCATAGCCATAGGATTTTTTTTTTGGGGGGGGGGGCATTCGATTTTTGGGGGGGGCAGCGGACCAATTAGTAGGATTTGAGCTAGGACTCCTATAGGGCAAGCCTATTTGGAGAACACACGTGAAGGTCAAAGTTGCTGGTTGTTGCATCTTATGTTCGCAAGATGGTCGTCGTCGTTGTCGTTGTCGTATTATCATTACTATTTAAATTATGTCTTCCTCCTCCTCCTGGACCCCCTTTTTCCTCCTCCTCCTCCTCCTCCTCCTTCTTTTCCTGTTCCTCTTTCTCCTCCTATCCTCCTCTTATCCTCCTCCCCCTCCTCCTCCTCCTCCCCCTCCTCCTCCTCGGACCCTGATTGAAGGCGGTCAACTATTACGATGGCCTGCTGCTCCTCATACTATTCCTTGTGCTCCTCCTCCTCCTCCTCCTCCTCCTCCTCCTCCTCCTCCCCTTCTCCTCCTCCTCCTCTTCCTCCCCCCCCCCTCCTCCGCCTCCTCTCCCTCCGCCTCCTCTCCCCTCGCCGCTGAGCTTCGCCGCGCCCGGGCTTCTGCCAGGCGAGCCCCGAGACCGCGGAGGCAATCCGGCACGAAGGACAGGGACAGGAGCATAGAGTAGGACAGGGCAGGTACAGGACAGGGAGGGCAGAGACAGGGACAAGACAGGACATGGAGAGGAAGGGAGGGCATGTACAGTATATGGAGAGGAAGGGAGGGCAGGTACTGGGACAGGGCAGGGAGGCGCAGGAGGAGGCCGACAGAATGGACGTGGACAACTATGCCATCGACGAACACACAGGAACCTTGTGCAAGCGCCGAACACAGCCAACTATGTACTGTAGGAGGTGCAGACGACGAAGTGGATAAGGCGAACGGTGAGGTGAGGAGAAACACCGAAGTACAGCGAGAAGCAACGCCCAGCAGCTCAAATTTCCGCCAGGCGAGCGAGCGCTGGCGGCGGCGGCTGCTGGGGGCTGGCCGGGCCGGGCGCCTGGCCGGCAAGGGGGGCGAGTGACGCGGACACGCGGACCGCCGGTGGAGGAGGTGGGAGGAGGAGGGATGAGGAGGGAGGAGGTGGAGAAGGAGGAGGAGGAGGAGGAGGAGGAGCAGGAGGGAGAGGAAGAGGAGGGAGAGGAGAAGAAGGAAAGGGAGGAGGAGGAGGAGGACCAGAGAAAACTCTAGTTGGATTTGCGGTGTTGCCATACACCCTCCCGTCCCATGTCCCCACTTCACAGGTCCGGTCACGTATTCTTATTACAACATGTCGTGGCCGAGTGGGATGTGCGCGGCGCTATGGCGATACATGCGTTTTGAGAAAGTGTCTCTCCCCACCCGCGAAGTAAATACAAGCGTTGTGAATAAAAGGCTCTTTCCATCCGCTCAGTGACTGAATGCTTTACAACCCACAATGAATTAACTTGTCGCAGGAAGACATGCTTTAAAAGCAAGAGTGAACTAAGTTTCGCCATTGCCTCGACTGCGTCAAAGACTGTTCGCGGCGCCAAAGCGAGCCTCATGTTGAATGTCATACGCTTTCCGTCCGTGCAACTGTTCCACACTTTGAAAACGAATATGCGCGGTGCCAAAGCGAGAACCTCATTTTGAGTAACATGCACCCTCGATCCGTGTAGTTGTTGCAATTTTTGAACACGAATGTGCGCGGCGCCACGACGAGAGCCTCATTTGTGGAGATCGTACCCCCTCGGTTCTTTCGAAAATGAATGTGCACGGCGCCAAGGCGAGTGCGCCATTTTGACTAACAGAACCCCTCGATCCGGGCAGCTGTTCCGAATTTTGAAAACGAATGTGCGCGGCGCCAAAGCGAGAGCCTCATTTTGAATATTCGATCCGTGTAGCTGTTGCAAATTATGGAAACGAATGTGCGCGGCGCCAAAGCGAGAACCTCATTTCAAGTAACATGCGCCCTCGAGCCGTGCACCTGCAGTTGCAAATTTTGAAAATGAATGTGCGCGGCGCCAAGAGAGCCTCATTTTGAATAACAGACCCCCGCCGCCGTCTGCGTCGCCGCCGCGCCCCCCACCGCGGCTGCAGTGGCCAGTCGCCAGCGCCGTGCGCACCTGCGCCAGCGTCGCCGCGCCGCCGCCAGCGCCGCCAGCGCCGCGCCGCCGCGCGCCGCGCGCTCAAGGCGCCGCCGGCAGCACGCCGCGCCGCGCCGCCGCTGCCCGGCCAGGCCCCGCCCGTCGCCAGCTCACGCCGCGCGCTCCGCAACCCGCCTGCGGCGCGCATCCGCCGCAGCCGCTCGCCAGCGGCTCGCTGTGGTCCAGCGCGCCGAGCCCGCCGCTGCCGCCGCCGCCGCTACCGCCCTGCAGCGCGCCTCTGCCAGCCGCCCAGCGCGCCCAGGCGCCTGCTCCGCGCGCCCATGCGCGCCCCCGCGCCAGGGCCCGCCGCGGCCCCTGGCGCCCGCTGCCCGCCCTGCAGTGGCGCGGCCCTGGCGCCTCCAGCCCGCGAGCAGGGACCCCTGTTGGTGCCGCGCCTCAGCGGCCCCGCAGCCCTGGCGCGCCCTCAACCGTCCCAGCGCGCTCAGCGCCCAGCCCGAGGCCCCCGCCAGGCCTGGTGCTGCGTGGCGGCGAGGACTGCGTCGGCAGCGTGGCACCAATACGCTGCCCAGCGTTTGGTGCAGCCGGCGAATGGCCGCCGACCGCCCGTGGTCATCGGGCGGCGGGGCCAGAAGGCGCACCCAGGCCAGGGCGTCCTCCCCCAGCCGGCCATTGTCTTCGACCGCGAATGGGACCATCCGCAAGCCGGGGTACCGCGCGCGCTTCTCGTTCTCTGCCGCAGCAGCCGCTGCGCCAGCGCGCCGGGCTGACCCGCATCCCAGCGCGTCCTGGGACAGCGCGCTGACCACTGTAAGGTCGACCCAACTGGGCACAGCGCCTCCGGCCAGCTGGCCGCGCAGCACTATCTCCGCCTCCTTTACCTCCCCCACCTCCCCCTCCTCCTCTCCCTCCTCCTCCTCCTCCTCCTCCTCCTCCTCCTCCTCCTCCTCCTCCTCCTCCTCCTCCTCCTCCTCCTCCTCCTGCTCGATCCCCACAGGTGAACTCATCAGGGGAGGGCCCGACCCTCCCTGGGTTCCTCTTGGGGCTGCAAGGCCCCAGGAGGGCTCCAAGACGGCCAAGAGGGAAGTCTAGGGGGCGCCCCTGGAAGGGAAATCTGTCAGCCCCGCAGGCGGGTCCCGCCCCCGACCCTGGGGCCCGCGACAGGGCGCGCCCTTCAACAATTCCTCGTCGGAGCCCGCCTCGGACATGGTCTTCGCGGCGTTGCCGAAGGCTCGAGCGCGCACTTCGCTGACGCCAGAGCAGTGGCGCAGGTCCGCCATACAGAGGTTTGCGCGGTTAAAAACACGCGGGCCTTGCCCTCCGAAGGCCCCAAGAGGCTCCAAAGAACGTCCACCGTCCAACCCGTCTCCGAGACGGTCCACGAGGCCCCGAGGTGCCCCTGAGAGGGGTCCAAGAGGCTCCCCAGGAGGACCCCGAACGGCACAATTCGTACGTTCCTACATGTTTTAAAAAGGTGGCTCGCCTTTTCAGCTCCCCGACGCTCCACGACGGCCCAAGAGGCCCCAAAGATCACCCCCAGACACACCCAAGAGATCGCCCAAAAGGCCCCAAGACACCCCAATGGGCCCCAAGACGACCCAAGGGGGCCCCCAAACACCTCAAGAATCCTCCTAGAGGGCTCCAAGATGCCCCAAGAGGGCACTGCAACAGCCCCAAGAGGGGTCCTGGAGAGTGGGGGCTTGTGGAAGGCGTAGGACTGCACGCGCCGCTCGGCAGTTCTGGCCAGCTGGGGCACGAAAGGGGTGCTCTGGAGGAGGCACCCCTAGCCTGGCCGCCCCGATACGCAGCACGCAGCCCGCAGCGCGCTGACACGGAGCTCACCCCGCAAGCCAAAAACGTAGTCTGTCGGGGTACGTTTGCCAAAAAGGGGGCCAACCCGTGCCAACACGCGGCGTGTTCAACCCAGACGTTTTGCACACGGTACGTGTTGCGTTTCACCACGGACGCATCAAGGCATTTCTGGAAATCCTGGGGACACTTTGGGCCAGGGGCGCCGTTGGCAGCTGACCCTCCCCGGTCCCCCACTCCGGGGGACGACGGTTCGGCGGCCAGCCTGGGGGGGAAGTGGGCAGGGGCGAGCCTTCTCAGAAAAGGAAGTCATCCAGCCTTCTGGGAAGTTTTCTAGGCCTTCCCCAGAGACGCGCAAAACTTCTCAGCAGGCGCGAGGGCGTCGGAGAAGTCCCGCCGCCTTCTGGAAAGTCTCGCCGCCGAACGGTGGCAGCGACGTGGAAACCCTCTGGAGGAGGAGGAGGAGGAGGAGGAGGAGGAGGAGGAGGAGGAGGAGGAGGAGGAGGGGGAGGAGGAGGGGGGGAGGAGAAGGAGGAGGAGGAGGAGGAGGAGGAGGAGGAGGAGGAGGAAGAAGAAGATGGATGAGGTGGAGGTGGAGCAAGAGGAGAAGGAGGAGGAGGAGGACCGAGGAGGGCGGTGGCCCCCAGCAGTTTTGTTCCTTCGAGAGGCACCCCCAGTTGTAGTCGCCCTGGGACGACGACGACGACGACGACGACGACGACGAAAACTACCGAAGACGACCGAAAAAGACGAAGACGACGACGACGACGACGACGGCGACGACGGCGACGACGACGACGGCGACGACGACAAGGACACGGTGACGGCGACGAATAATACGACCACGGCGATGACCACGGCGACGGCGACGACGACGACGACGACGGCGACGGCGACGAATGATAGACCACGGCGATGACCACGGCAACGGCGACGGAGACGACGACGACGGCGACGGCGATGGCGACGGCGACGGCGACGGCGACGACGACGACGACGACGACGACGACCTTGGCCTCCGAACTGCACGCCCCGCGAGGGCAGAAGCGCGGTTTACAACCAGGGGGGTATGGCAACCCCCATTCCCGACATCGTGGGGGCTTTCGGGTGGGCCAACAATTTTGGGCCTGGCCCGGGCATTGGGATGAGGGGCCGTCCATCCTCGAAGCGTCCTGTCTTTTCCGAGCGGCCTCTTTTCTTCGGGTGGGAACTCAAGGGCTTTGCGGGCGAGGCCTCGCCTGCGAGTTGATCTCCCGCGCTTCGGATGTCGTGGAGTCATCGCCCGACCCCAGGCCCAAGGAGCGGCCCCGAGACCTGAGCCACTCCCGGGCCCGCCAGCGGCGGCCCTTCTCTGAGCGTCTCGGCTGCGCTCGCAGCCGCCTCGAATGTTTCCAAGCCTTGGACGTCTGGACCCGGGGGGTCGAAAATCTTCGGCGGCAACTCGCGGGGGCCTCCCATGCCGTCTTGTCGGCCCTTGCGGATCGACGCTGGTCGACGCTACATCGACGCTAATCAACGCCAGGTCGACCCAAATCGACGTTAGCCGTCGCTAATTCGGCGCTATCTCATCGACCCCCAAACGCTGATCGGCGCCTATATACGCTAAAGGCGGAACTGTGAGGATATACCAGGCTCCCGTGATTTGCTACCGAGAAAATCCCCCCCTTGACTGACCGTCGGGCGCGTTATGGCCATGATCTCGAGGCAGACCCAGCCGCGGCGAGGAGCCATCCCGGGGGGGGGCAAACAGTGCACACACACACACACGCAAACACACAAACACAAGAACACACAAACACCAGAACACACAAACACAATAACACACAAACACAAGAACACACAAACACACAAATACACAAACCCGCAAACACACCAAGACACAAACACACAAAACCACAAACACACAAACACACAAGCACACAAACACAGACAAACACACAATCACACAAACACAAGAGCACACAAGCACACAAAACACAACACATAAAACACAAACACAGACACACAAACGCAAACACACACACACACACACACACACGCTTTTTCCGTCGGTGGCTAGCCAGAGTCACTGCGCTGGCGAGGAAGCAACACGGGGCAGCCGTTAAGCGAATTGTGCCACCATGCA